TGCAATTGAAGATATTTGACCTATACTTAAGGCAACTGGTTTAATTGTGTAAAATTTTGCATAATAAAGGATGGCATTTTTTTTGAAAATGTTCAATTATATAGATATACATTTTGATCAGATCTACTCGACGTGATATTTGTGTGTGGTTGTGGTTTGTTGGTTTTTTTTGCTCAACAAAAAATCCTAGGTTGGGAGGGCAGGGGGCCCCGCCAAAACAGTTTGAATTGGGCCCTGCACTTCCTAAAGTCGGCCCTGCTGGTACTCCCTTATCCACATAACCATCACTCTCATAGAATTCTCTGGTCCTGCTGGTACTCCCTTATCCACATACCCAGAGAATTCTATGAGAGTGATGGTTAACTCTTCCCCAACATGCTGTGGTTACCTAAGTGCCTGATATTCTGTTTGACTGTAGTTTCAACCAATTTGCCTAGTACAGAAGTTAGGCTTACTAGGCTATAAATGCCACAGTTGCCTCTGGAGCCTTTGTTAAAAATTGAGGTGACATGAGCTATCCATAAATCACGTGGTAAGGAGGCTGATTTGAGTGATAGGTACCAAGTTAGTAGCTATGCCATTTCATATTTCAGATCCTTCTTCTGTATAGTCCTGGTGACTTATTGCTGTTGAATTTACAATTTTGAGACAACTGCCTCACAATGGTGCTAAAGATTATGAAATGTTCGGATTCTACAATGCAGGGACCAGAAGAGTAGCAGTCAGTAGCAGTGAGTTTAATTGGCATATAGTAACCCTTTCCTTCTTCCCCTCATTCCTCCACAAGTAACCGCAGAAAGTGTCCAAACCCAGGTGGCCAACATGTCATATTAAAATAAATTGATCAAAATGCACATCTACCCAAGTTGTGAGGACTTGCTCTTATTTCAGTAGAATGTTGGTCCATTACTAAAAATGCTTTGTAGTATGACTAGAATCTCTGAAACTTCATAATCAGTTATTTTAGTTTAAACACACAGAGTTTGTTTGACCCTTTTAAACTTTAGTTTATGCTAACTATATATAGTATTTTACAGAGCCTGTTTTCAGGTTCAACTGAGATTTGTTAACGTTTTAGCCACTTTGTACAATTCAGAATATGATACATGCCACTGTTTCACATGCCATTATGAAATCTTAAGATTATCTGTGCCACCTCTAATGGGACAGTAGGAAAGAAAATCTTTAAAAAAAAAATCATTAATAGTGATGGCTAATGGCAATACAGCTTAGCTATAGAGCCAGATTGATTGGAAGGGAGTTTAACTAAAAAGCCCCCATACATCAGACAAGGCCATTATTAGGCCTGTGTACATTACTTACTGATGATACAAATCAGCATTGTGAGAGGAAATGATAAAATCAGAATAATATACACTGTGAAGAGAGAGAAAGTAATACACAATCAAGGTGAGATTGATTTGCCTCAGAGTAATGCACAAGGGAAATCATGTCATCTGTGACACACAGTCTACCCAACAGCTGTAATTCCTCACAAAATATCAGACCACAAAGGCCCATTGCATTTATCAAATAAGCCACTTCAAGGACAAAAAGGACATGAACATCTTTAATATGAAATACAGGGGACTAAATCAACTACAGAAGTGCTCAAGCACAAGTATGGTGTTGATTAAAAGAACATAAAATTGTAAGCGTTATTTTCTTTCTGTAGAAATAGGCGCAAAGCTGCCTTGGAATTGAACAATGTTCTTTGTGTATCTTGGAGGACAAGATTGAGTTTTGGGGAATTTAGATGTTCCAGAAATCTTCCTAATAAATTGCTTTAAAGATCGCAAGAGATGTGCTAAGGTTGTGCAAGTTTCTCTTCAGGAGTGACCCAAGAATCAGATAGCAAAGCCACCCCTCTAATATCTCTGTGCTTCTCTGGAGAGCAGAACTGGCACTCCTGCTGCACTGTGGAAAATTCCAGAGGCATTCTCCCTCAGCAAGGCAGAGTTAATTCCTGAAGCCTAGTCTGTACTTAAAATTTAGCATACTTAGCTCAGGGCTGTGAAAAACTACATGCCATGTGTGGACCTAGTTAGTTGACCTATTCCCCAGTGCAGCTATGTTGACCTCTTGAGGGGCTGGATTTACCACAGTGACAGAAAGACCCCTTCTGTCACTGAAGTAAGTGTCTACCTGGCTGTGGCAGAGCTGCAGCGCACTCGTGCTTAATTTCTTTTAATTAGAAAAGCTGTCTCTCTAGCTCAGTTGGAATCAGTTTTCTTTAAAGGTTGCTTTTAAAATATCTTAGAGGCGTGATCTAGTGGTCTTAATCCAAATAGAACGAGGATTTCCTGAGACCTAATGCGAAGTCTGAAACTGTGATACTAAATTACTTAACTTTTCTATACCTCAGTTTCCCCTTCAGTACAATGTAGACAGTATTTATTATATAAGGGTATTGTGGGAATTAATCAATTAATGTTTCTTTAGTGCTTTGAACATGAGAAGCAATGTAATGTGGTTCTCATTACTTTGTATGAGTAGGAATGGAAACAAATGACTTGTTGCAGGAAAGTGAACACTAATGTCATCTGAAAGAAATATTTCTATATAAATGGTTCATTGTCAGTTGAAGAAAAGACTATTGTACAGAGAAGGCAGATAACTGTATATGAAGAGGATCAAAGAAGTTTTTGAGATGTTATGAGAGCAAAGGAACTGAAAATATTACTCTTCCTAATATACGGCATCTGAACAGACATTATATTTATGCCAATACAATATGGGCTTTGTGGCTGGTACAGTAATGGAGGGTGTCTGTTCATAATAGAGGAGGGAAAAAAGGCTGACCTGAAAGGGTGCAACAGCAGCTGGTGGTGAAAGAGAGAGAGATCGACTGAGAGCAAGAATTTAACAGCTTGGAGTGACCGACACAGCCAGTGATCTCTAAAGATGTGAGCATTTCATTTTGTCTTTCTGATATAATTCCGAGGTTTGCACCTATTTAGGTGAAACTGAGTTCACGCTGAGGAGTACTGGAAATTATAGTGTACCTGTTGTTTAATCTCAGTTTCTTACTGCAAAGACTGTAAAGCAGCATATTATGTCACATTTTATATGGTTCTTGGGATATTTACTGAAGTCCATCCCAAAGCCAGCTAAACAGTTCATTAGACAGATAATTGGTGGGTGAGGTGAGCACTAAGCCCATATGTGCAGGTTAGGTTCTCTGTCAAAGACATGGGCCTGGGGTCTAGTCGTCTTTGGTGGTGTCAATGCTCATACCAAAGCACCAGGAAATATTTGAAGAGATGAGTTTAAGCAGCAAAGTTGATGGTTGTCAGCAATCTATTGTGTACAACTGAACCTCGATGAGATGTGTCTACCATCTTCCAGGTATCAGAGGGGTACTTGTGTTAGTCTGAATCTGCAAAAACGATGAGAAGTCCTGTGGCACCTTATAGACTAACAGATTTATTGGAGCATAAGTTTTCATGGGCATGCATCTGATGAAGTGGGTCTTTGCTGACGAAAGCTTATGCTCCAATAAATCTGTTAGTCTATAAGGTGCCACAGGACTTCTTTTCACTTTTGCATCCTCCAAGTGCACTTGATTGCTGGCATTTTCCATAAGATGCTGTTCTGAGAGTTAAGGCAAAAGTTAATGGTAATATTTTTATTTCTTACAAACCTTTATACAATGTCCCTTCTATTTCAAAGAGCCCTTTGCCACTAGAGCAAACATGTCACATTCATTCTGTAGGAAGGGCCACATTACTTTTTCAGTTATACCATGTATTAGATAAACTCTCCATTAAGATGAATGGAATCAGTTCACTTCCCCTGAGCAGTTTCAGGCTGCCTGTGCCACAAGGGATCAAGTTCAGAAGCTTATCTTTGCAACCACAAGAGCTAGAATTTTTTATTTTATGTTACTTATTTATGAAAACTTCAGTTTGCTAGAATCAGAATCTATCATGGTAGCACTGGATTAATACATCAAGCGGATCAGGAGTCTGACACCCTTAACTAAAGTAGAATAGAAAGTAAAAAATAAAGTAATAAAACAAAAATATATTTCAGATGGAAAGGGGGTAAAGGTTATGGTTACATTTACTAGCCTGTAATGTTTTGAAAAAAAAGATGTAGTTAGAATCCTTTTTAAATCATTTGATAAAAAGGACTTGTAATGAATTTTAGCATGCTTGTTCCTTTGTCCTTTATCCTTCTAATTTTTCTTTACAGTTTTTTATTGACTATATACTTGAAATGTTCCTGAGAATGTATGTGGTATGTTTAACATCACCTGAAATGCATGTGGAACATTTAACCTCATCATACTGTTTTGCTTTCTCCAAAAAGCATCAGATGCCTTTGGACAACCATAGGTCTCATCAGTGGAAATCCAGAGTAACTCCATTGACTTCAGTAGAGTTAATCTCAGTTTTAAACTAATACAGGAGCAGATTTTGCTCCCTTGATTGCTTAGATAATTTTCTTGTGCACACTGTTTTCTCACATACGTCATGTCACCCTGAACTACACCAGATTCAGAAAGATCAGATCCCAAGATCAGGCACTGTATTTTAAGAATTCCTGTTTTGAGTACTTTGATGCAGAGGGAAAACATTTTAAGGGTTCCTTGTGTACCCACAAAGTGTGCAGCATGAAGGCAGACCTCATTTCATGTATTTGTGCTTGTAGCACATAATTACTCTCATTTGTGTTTCTGCCATAGCTATATCTTCTCTTTAGTGCCAGAAAACTGTGTTTGTGCCAACCCCTGAAACTTTCCTGAGTCACCTTGAGGTTCAGTAGTCTGGAGCATATTGTATAACTGGTTATAGCTGAAACCAAAGTCTTTTCTTATAGATTCTGCGTGGTTTACCTATCAATAAAAATGGCCTATAGCAAAATGAGGGGAAGATTTTATTTTGTCACTGTTGAGCTCTTTTCACTGTGCCACAGCTTACTCATCTTTTTGGGGGCTACTGCTGTTCCTGGTTTTTTTTCTTATTGTTTCTCACCCTTCCCCTCCTGTCTGGCAGGTGTAGAAGATGTTGTAGCAATAATGATTCCTGAGCCTAAAGGAAAAGAGATAGTGAGTCTACTGGAGAGGAATGTCACTGTGATGATGTATATAACAATTGGAACACGCAACTTGCAGAAATACGTCAGCCGTACCTCAGTGGTATTCGTCTCCATCTCTTTCATCGTGTTGATGATCATCTCACTGGCATGGCTGGTCTTCTATTATATCCAGAGATTCCGATATGCAAATGCCAGAGACAGAAATCAGGTGAGGAACATGTAAATGGGCTTTGAGGTTTGTCCTGTATTCCTTAAAATGGCCATTTAAATCACAAGGTGATATTCTTGGGAGAATAAAATATAATTTTTTTTTCTTGGGGGAAGCAGACAAAAAGGGAAATAGATTGTGGTAGAGGAGCCAGCATTCAGCATGATGGGCAGGACTAAAGAAAGAAAAATCTATATAAATATGTTCTTTACATAAAAAGTAGGGTAGGAGACCTGAAGCTTAAATGAAACTAATGAAGCTAGTCAAAGGTGACTTAAAGAACACTTTATTGGTGTACAAAAAAGGCAGTATGCGATTACTGAAGGGGGGGGGTGAGAGAATGGAAAAGTGATTTCATTTGAAAATATTTTATTCACAAATACTAAAACTTCTTTGTAAGGGTCATTGCGTAAAACCATCTATTCCCCTTTCAGACACTCGCTGCTGAACATGTAAACAGAACAATGATGTAAACGTGAACGTATAAATAATAATTAGTAAATCATTTTCTGTATGTATGGTACTGAAATTAATGGGATTGCATGCACAATTACAGTAGCTGCATGCATGAACTAGCCACATATTCACTAATATCCCCAGCCCTCTGAAAATCAGAAATGTTATTGTAATATTAAACCCATTGTGTTTGATGTACTGTCTGCATTCTAATGGAGATAATTACATTCTTACTGCCCACAATAGAAGCTGCTCTCCATCGCACAGACCTATCAGTTTTGAATTGTAACCTACTTTAAAACAGATTCAACAAAGGTTTTAATGAGGTTGCTATACACAATGTAAATGATATATAATTTTATGAATGTGATCCATTAAAACTGTCACCATTCATGGGAACCAAGCATATGAGGTATTACAAATAGCCCTTGGCTAGAGCTAGGTGAAAAGTGGGTTTGGGGTTATTTGTTAGATTTTTGGCTTTTTGATGGGGTAGGAGTTCTGGAAGTTGTGAAAAAATAAAACACATTTTCATGTATGTCAAACCCAAATCTAAAATGGCATTCTTTGATTTTTTTCATTGCATGGAAATATTGGAAAAGCTTCAGATCAAAACATTTTGATATTACCAAAACACAATATTTCAAGTCAAAATGCTTTTTCAGTCTCTCCTCTTCCAGCTGTTGCATTGAGTACAAAATAGCTCCTGGGAAATTGTTACAGAAATAGGGATTTGATCCTGGGTTTCCTGAATCCTCCATGAGTGCCTTCCTGATCACCAATCTTAAAGACATGCTCTTTCCTTGGCTTGCTAGCTGTCTGTTGTCATTCATAGCAACAAGTCGTCATTCATGATGACAATGGATAGTTATTGTGCCAGAGAAAGAGTAAGCATGACTTGATGTGGCCCAGTGGTTTGGACCCTCACCTACAATATGGGAGAACCAAAGGCAAGCCTCTGCTCCAGTGACGATTTATTCTATTTCCTCTTGTTAGGGCGTTTGTTTATAAGAGCGTGCTTTATGCTGGACATGTGCTATATCACTTCACTAGCTCTTATTTACTGCTATCAACTTTCATAAGAGAAGTAAAGCCAAGTCTGACGACTTGTGTTCATTAAAGACCCTATGCATTTTGTTTGTTACATAAGGAGTTGATTATTCTTGGGAGTGTGACCTAGTTCTAACTGAAATAATTACCCTCTTCCTAAATAAATTCTCTCTGAAATTTTAATAGGATACTGGATTCTTCATTTATTCTGTAAACCATTGTGCACCGTTTGTAAGAGAACTGCTATATGTCAGAAGTAGGTGAAATACCCCTGCCCCATAGTCCAAACACAACCTAGAGTCCCAACTCAGTCACTTACTGAGCTTTCATTTGATTAGCATAGAAATTAACAATAAGATATCAAAGCTTGTCTCAAAGCTACTTTCCATGCTTGACTGCTTCCTATCTAAGGACTATTCCCACTCTACAGGGCCAGTTCAATCTCCCTTTTATCCAAGTGGGGTAATAAGTCAGAGAGTCAGCAGAACCCATTTAACCCTTTCCCAACAATCAAATACTGCTAACAAGGCTGGGTATTTCAGGTAAACAGTACCAGCTGGTATGTGGTGATGATAGTTGTGCACCAAAAAGGTTTTGAAGTAAAGCGAAGGCGTGCTAAGAATATAAGAACGTAAGAATAGCCATACTGGGTCAAACCAAACATGCATCAAACCCAGTATCCTGTCTTCTGACAGTGGCCAATCCTTGGTGCCACCAGAGGGAGTAAACAGAACAAGGAATCAACAAGCAATCCCTCTCCCGTCACCTGTTCCCAGCCTCTGACAGACAGAGGCTAGGGACACCATTCCTACCCATCCTGGCTAATAGCCATTGATGGACCTAACCTCCATGAATTATCTAGCACTTTTTGCTAAAGTTGCTACTTGAACAGTGACATATAGGTTGATTTCTCCGTAACCATTATGAATATTGATTCAACACATTGATTCAACACATCTGGTGCAGATGCATGTAGCATGCCTCCAAGTCTCAAAAGCCTCAGATTGGGTCTGTGATTGCTACTTAATGGTAGGCAGATCAGATAAAATGAGAGTTTTTGATGTGTAAGTCACTATCTCATTAAGGTATAACATAAACAGGGCATGTCAGTGCATAGCATTGCTTCTGGGCTTCAAAGTTTCTTAAGACAGCTGATCTCTCTCTCTCTCTCTCTCTCTCTCATATTTCTGTTTTCTCTGTATTTTGCTTCTCTTCCTCCAATTTCCATTTCCTTCTTGGACTGGAAATGTGAACATAGAATAACGTCTCACACTGTAGTAAGAGAGAGGAGTCCTTGCCTGTGACAAGTAAGATGATGATCAGCTGGGGTAAAAGAGGCTGCAGATTTTAAAAAATGTGGAAAGGTAGGGAAGGAGAGGACAGATGGGATAGAAGGAAAAGTTTTTCCTGGGCAGAGGAAACTATAGCAACATGCTTGCTTCATTGTTCTTCTCTTTCATGTCTCCTGTGATCATTAATGTAAAGAGTTGATAAGAGCACAACTCAGACTTGCCCTTTCTGTGAGGGTTATCTCAGTTTTCCTAATGTTCTATTTTTCTTATCTTTGACATTTTTTGTTTGTGGTATAGGGATAGGCTAGCAAAACTCCAGTCCTGAGAGATATATCTTCTTACATCTTACAATACAGCAGCAGCTTGTATTTCTTTGTTTGGGTACAGTTTAAATCTCACTCCTGTTATCGTGGTGCTCAAAGGCTTTTGCCATTATAATCACTGTGTGCGCATCTGTGTCTTTGTACAAAGATATTGTGCTTATTTGTAGAAAGCCTTGAATATGCTATAGCACTTGCATCATCAGCCAAGTTGGAGAAGTATTTTTCTATTTTTATTTCATTTAGTCCAATAAAGTGCAGCCCCATTTATCCAAAGAGCTAGGGTCACAGCCATAACCTTTTGCATAAATAAGGTTTGAAATAAGCCAATTTGAAAAGGCAATACTCCTTCCCAGTCCCCATTCACAGGCCAATATAGACTGGCTTTATACATGAGCTAGCTGTCACTGAAAATGCCAGAGCAGTGGCTGAGATATATTTAACTAGGGTTTGATTAAACACATTTGAAATTTTTTAAATCCTTTTAAACCAGAGACTTAGGGATGTTAAATAGCAGGTAATAGAACAGTCAACTAACTGCATGTATTGTTAATGGTTAGTCCACTATTCTGTACTCCCCAGGGGCCAGGCTGGCAGCCAGTGCACTCCGGCCCCATTTCTGGGGAGCTCCCTGCCACCCTACGCTGCTGCTTCTGTATCAGCATGGGGTGGCAGCAGCCCCTGTCCGTGGGGTTCTGAGCTCCCCATGGTCAGAGGCTTGCTGGTTGGAGGAGACTGCTGCAAAGCAGACTCTGTCTGCAGGGGGGGTCCGCAGTCCCAGCTCGCCCTGGGTCCCTCCTGCTGCGCTTCTGATTTTAAATGTGTTAAGAGCTGGCAGGCTATTAATACATTTAAAAAGCAGTGGTGCAGTGTCCCTGCTACCGCCCTGCCTCCTCGTCCCCACTGTGGAGACAGTGCTGGGGGAAATGACTTGTTTAATCATCTCACATCCTGCTTCTCTTCCCGCCCCCCCCCCCTTGCTGCCTCTGGGGGTGGGTGTGAGTAGTCGACTAGATTACCAGATAAGCCTATGCTTATCCGTTAATCATCTAGTTGACTACTCATTCGCATCCCTACAGGGGCTTGGAAAAGAAGGGTTACTATCTGCCAAATTTTCTGTCTCACAGAAGATCCTTACCTGGGTCAACTATCCTAGCTGAGACTTTCACACTCTCTGTTTCTGAGGTTAGCTGCTAACTAACTAGCTAGATTATCCATGTGTCTTAGACCGCCTCTCTGTAGAAGGAGCCTTTATAGTTGGCAATTTAGGCACTTATTAGAAGGACTGGGGTGAAGTAACTGAGCAGTAAGCTGAAGGATGTGATGTTAACCTCTGAGTTTGAAGATTGTGGTACAGGACCAGAACATTGCTGAGTTGTTTCTCTGGATTGCTCCAACCCACTGTCCCTCCCCCTATGCCTTTAGCTACCCAACAGATCCATAGCATAAGTTTTCTTCCCACTGCACTGGGTCATCCATCCTTGACAGACATGCTCCACCTCATATCTACCGCACAAGATTCTCCCCTTTCCTTCATTGTCACATTCTTTCCCAGGCCTAGCTTCTTTCATAAGAACATCAGAGTGGCCGTACTGGGTCAGACCAAAAGTCCCTCTAGCCCAGTATCCTGTCTTCCAACAGAGGCCAATGCCAGATGCCCCAGAGGGAATGAACAGAACAGGGAATCATCAAATGAATCCCTCTCCTGTCATCCATTTCCAGCCTCTGATAAACAGAGGTTAGGGACACCATTCCTAGTCATCCTGGCTAATAGCCATTGATGGACCTAATCTCCATGGATTTATCTAGCTCTTTTTTGTTAAAGTCCTGGTCTTCACAACATCGTCTGTCAAGGAGTTCCACAGTTGACTTTGTGTTGCATGAAGAAAAAATTCCCTTTGTTTGTTTTAAACCTGCTACCTATTACTTTCATTTGGTGACCCCTACTTCTTTTGTTTTGTGACGTCATGTTCTTCCTACATGAGTCATAGTTGGTAGCTCTGCCCCAGTGGGATTTGACTCGGATTCTAGAAGGAACTGACTGTGATGCATCCAGAGAGCAACAAGTCCACATCACGATCAACAATTCAAAAACTAAAGGTCTCTTCCATCATGGCCACCCAGTTGTGACCACAAAAGCTCATGATACCATCTACGTGTTTTGTTAGTCTATAAAGTGCTACCAGACCATTCGTTGTTTTTTTCTGTTGTGAATGGTTTTCCTGCTTAAAATGTATGGTTTCTTACATGTGACCACCAAATATCTGCACATTACCATTTTGTGTGCGTACCTATGGGTAACTATGTATGCAGATCAGCAGTTAGTTGGGCAGTTATTCATGTGTGCATGTAAATATCTGCCAGTGTGGGCTTTTGTGCATGCAACTATGTGTGCCAGCGATAGGCGCCAACACATTTTCATAAATCTGTTTGAAAATTTGGGCCTCTTGTTTAAATTTCAAGCTCCCAAAATATAAAGTCATCCTTAGCCATGAAGAAAAGAATAGGTGTAACTGTTGTCCTTGGTAATGGTTAGACTGTAGCATGGTTTAGGGTAAAAGGCAGGTGTTGGCAGTTTTTCTGATGAAGTGCCCAACCTCTGCTGTTTATCAGCCAGCAAGGGCAGGAATTAACTGGTGGCTGTCGTCTGATTGTGGTTTGTACTTCCATGCTGTTGCTTGAGCAAATGAACTGAATTCTTAGAAGGAAGGCATTGTAGCTTTTGGTTCTTTTGCTCAGTTTGTTGTCCAGAATGGAAATACCTTATGCAGAGATCTCTGTGAAATGCAGTGAGTTGTTAGCATCAACATTTGGTTGTGGGGCTGGGTAGAAGCAGTTTGGGATAACAAAACTGTTTTCTGGAAATATTCTACAGAGTTAATACTTCTGCTATAGCCTTCTTTGCCTCCTTCATAGCAGTGAAGTAGGTTAAAAAAATCCAGTCAGCCTGTCAAACTGCATTTTCCACCCACATATCTAGTGTTTGCTCTGTGTGGTGTAGGAACCCTAGGATAGAAGAGGGCCTTCAGTGCCAGAAAGTTAACTCCTGCTGTATAATTCTATCAGTTACTTTTTCCTCTTCTCTCTGCTTTCTGGTTAGTGAGGAATTTGCTGTAAGTTAGTTGTGAAACTTTGTGGGCTCCATTAGAGTTTGGAGAATGACTGAATCATGATGAAACAAAAGTCAGAACTATGTAGCACTTTAAAGACTAACAAGATGGTGTATTAGGTGATGAGCTTTCGTGGGCCAGACCTACTTCCTCAGATCAATATGTGGAAGAAAATCGGCATAACCATATATACCAAAGTGATACAATCAAAAAAATGAACACATGTGAAATTGACAAATCAAATTTTAGAACAGAATAGGGGTCAGGGGGGAAGGTTAGTGTCTGTGAGGTAATGACATGGGGTGATAATAGGGGAAGTTTCTGTGAGGTAATGTCATTTGATTTGTCGATTTCACATGAGTTCATTTTTTTGATTGTATCACTTTGATATATATGGCTGTGTCGATTTTCTTCCACATATTGATCTGAGGAAGTGGGTCTGGCCCATGAAAGCACATCACCTAATACACCATCTTGTTAGTCTTTAAAGTGCTACATAGTCCTGTCTTTTTTGTTTCAGCTAGACCAGACTAATACAGCTGCATCTCTATCACTATTCTACATGAATCATGATGAGATATTGAAAGGCAAGAAAACTATGGAGAGGGTTCAGATTTCTGCCTGCAGTATGGACTGCTCTGTTCATGAATGAGGAGAATTTGTTTCTTGTTCCCCACATTCAGTATAAGGATCCAGTACAGCATGCTGTGCATGAGTGAGAGCCAGAAAGCAGAGAACTTGAATATAAAGCTTTGGCCCATCTCATGAAAGTTATCCTTCTCTTTGTAACTGTGGTAGTCTCCCGAGACGGTGAGCTTTGTGACATTCATCACCATGTCAGATGGCGTTTCTCTTTGCTTGTCAGGGAGAGTTGAACCATCCAGAAATGACGAGGATGTCCCAGACTTATCTTTGAAATCTCAAGCTAATTTGTTCAGCACTGATAATATGGCTCAGAGCTATGCAAGGCACAATGGCACTCCCTGCCCTAAAAAGCTAAAAGAGAGCCTTAAAGACAAACATGGAGAAAACAGGATATGGGAGGAAATTTGTGAGGTGTTCTTTTACCCCTTATTCTCGCAGATGGCTAGCATTCTCTCCAGGCCTGGCACAAGGCTCTTTGCCTTCTATTTAACCACCATAGACTTCCCATATTAGCAGGACCTCCACACCAAAGGAGTAGTAACTCTTACTAGCCCAAGATGAATGTCCCAGTGTTAATTAGTGAGATTTATAACCATAAAGCCCCACTTGACAGTAGTTTAAATGTTTAATGTTAGCACTTCTTATCTTTGAGAGCAGTGTTTGGTTATTGATAGCATGCATTTTACTTAAAGAAAGGATTCTCCGAAAGTGTGATTCCCCCCTCCCCCCCCCCTTCCTTTAAAAAACATAATCAAATTTTCATTGACAGCACAAACATTGTCAGCATTTAAGTTAGATCAGAAAAGGCAAACATGAAAGCAAACATGAAAACAAATAGATCAAAGTTTTAAACCAGTCTTTAATCTTGTCCTGTTCTCTTGAAGAATATGCAAAAAAGACAAGACAAGACATTTCATTAACAGAAATAATAAAAAAAACAAAATCTAGAAGCACTACATAATATATCTTGTCTTTTTTTATTTTACATTAATGTAAATCAAAGGCAGCCAACTAAAGAAACAAATAGTTTGCAAGTAACATTTTCAATTCTTGTCATATTATATTGTTCAGTGCAAGCTGTAAGAAATATGTGCCATAGATCAAAATAACAAGGGGGAAAAGGTAACACATTAATCAAGCTTGGCTGGTGCCTGTGTCCTTATTTACAAGCTACATCTAGCCTCACATAATTTTTGGGTTCATTTTCTAGCCCACTCCAGCTTCAAGTTTGCTTCCAATTGGCATGTCATTTTGAACTCCGATACATAGAATGTTTCAGAGCTTAAAAGAACAATATCCTCATGGTCACCACCATTGTTAAATCCACATCCCTACACTGCGCTTCTTCTGGAAGTAGCTGGTATGGGTGTGTGTATAGAGGCTGATTTTATTTACTGGTGTAAATCAGGAATGATATCAATAAATCTCATTGAAATTAATACACTGTTGTAAAACCAGTGTAAGTGAGATCAGAAATGGGTACTAGATATTAGAAGATGACAAATGCTATGAAATTTCACCTGCAAATAAATTCAGTATGTAGTGGAGGGAAATGTGATAAGGAAAAAAGAATACAGATCAAAGTAGATGGCTCAGGTAGGAGTCCTCTACTGTTCATCACATATAACTGCAGAGCTTAGATACTGACTCTACAATTGGGTATGTCTACACAGCAGTGTTTATTTCAGAATAACTAATGTTATTCCAAAATAACATAGTGCACATCTACACTAGAAGCCTATATTTCAAAATAATATCAAGCTGGAGGACTTCTTACTCAGACTCCCTTTACTCCTTGTAAAATGAGGGTTACAGAAGTTGAAGGAAGAGTGTTCTTCTTTTGATTTCCTGCTATGTAGACTGCACAAAAAGCTGAATTAAGCTATTTCAACTTCAGCTACACAATTGATATAGCTGAAGTTGTGTAGCTTAATTTGACTTTAGCCCTGCGGTTTAGACATACCCATTGAGAGCATATGGGCAGAATGCTATGTCTGCCAGCAATCTCATTGAAGTCAATGGGACTGCTGTTAAAAGGCTCCCAAAATAATGAATATTTACTTAATATATTATGTGTCTCTTTCTGCTTTCATGGAATACCCATAATGCAATAACTTTGTGTTGTCATAGGCAATGTCCATTCTTCACTGGATTAACAATATAGATACTTTACTAATAAAACTTAGATAACTGAGGAGCCTTTAATCTATACAATTTTTTAAAGGGGCATGCTATGTCCACAGCAACCTGGCTGGCCCTGTCAGTTTACGTTTCATAGAACCTTACTGCTTCGTGTCAAATGGCTTTGGATTATGAATCAGCTATAGAAAAATAAGGTGATTGCTTCTGCATAAAGATATACTCTGCTAAAGGGCAATTTTCCATTTTCAGCGCCGTCTTGGAGATGCTGCAAAGAAAGCAATCAGCAAGCTGCAGGTCAGAACAATCAGGAAAGGTGACAAGGTAATTTTTCCTTTCAAACTAGAGCTGTGCAGAGAGGTGGTTCTCACAATGTCAAGAAGGAAGTAAGAAGGGAGTGGCAGTGACATTTATACTAGTAAATATCCCGTATCCAGCTGCATGATGCTGGTAAGCAACTTAAGGATGAAATGGAGCAGGGAGAGAAGGGAAATGTAAATAGATACAGTACAGTTCATTTAGTCAGAATAGTAAAGTAGCTACTGTTAGTTAGCAAACCAAATTTTGGGGCCAAATATCTGCAGTCCTCATTTAGGCAGAACTCTAACTGACAGCAGTGGGAGTGTAATTCCCAGTTCAAACAGGCAAACTTGTACTAGCAGTCATCAAGCTAGAGTGCTAAAATCAGAATGTAACTGCAGCAGTGCGATATGCTAGCCAACTCGAGTACATGCCCGTCAGAGACCATAGACACATATTTGAGGCAGCTAATCTTTCCCACCACTTGTATTACTGCAGCTGCATTCTATTTTAAGCACACTTGCTTAATGAGTGCTAGTTTAGGGTATGTCTCTATGAGCTGGGATTCACAACCTCAGTTCCAAGTGTAGACATATGCACCCAACATGCACGCAATCTTGTTGCCTGATCATAGGAATTGCAGAAATGGATCCATAATGAAGGCCTCACCCATTTTTTTAAAGATACATTGTAATACTTAAACATGCCAGTAACCATTTTAACATCAAAAAACAACCGAAGTAGCAGACTGCGGTGATTAATCCACAATTTTGTAAAAAATCTCATTTAATGTTCTCTTTACTGTAGGAAACTGAGCCTGATTTTGATAACTGTGCAGTTTGTATTGAAGGTTACAAGCCCAATGATGTTGTCAGGATCTTGCCATGCCGGTAAGTTAACACACGCTATGGAGGCATTTATAGCCTTAATGTGGTTTTTCAAGTGTCTGTTCTTTAGTGGAAAACTGCAAAGCTGAAATTGTCCGATTCCTTAAATGAGATTATGTGAAAAGTTCAAATTTGGTGACTTTTTTTTCTGTATTCAAAAGCTATCCCATAAAGATTTGAAATATTACTCTGAATTTGAAGTTAAAATAATAATTGCAGTGGGTGATCAGAGCCTAGGTCTAGCTATGTTTATTCTTGGCATGGTATAGGGGGATCTTATTCGGTCAGGCTTTTTGGTTAACCGTTAATATCAGCCTGACCAGGAAAGGACAGTTTGGTGGCTGATCTTTTCTAGTAACAAGAATGGTTGTGGTAGGGGAGGCTAGTGTTCAGAGGGTATGAGCCGGAAGCCAGATTGTCAGGGAGAGGAGGGGAGAAGGAAGCAGTAATACTTTTTTTTGTAAGAGCCCAGTTGGTAAGTCTATGGAATATTAGAAAGCTTCAGTAGAATGAACGGGAAAGGGAGCTGATTCTGCTGTCAGTTTCACCATTTTAATTTCAAAGGAGTTACTCCTGATATAAAGCAGTTTGAGGAATAGAAATGATTTTTATAGGACAAGGTTCAGTCTATTGGCAGGGTAGCATGGGGACACTTGCATTGTCATTCCCTATTCTGTTGTTTGTCCACAGAACAGCCATCTGCAATTCAGCAGCTTTCATGATCTTTAACTTCATTTGAACTTTTAAAAAAGCTGCTGTGTAAATAAAGTGGGAAAGAAGCCTTACACAAATCATATCTGGCAGAGTTTCCATCAAAGACAGCCAGATACTCTGCTTCTCAACTTGCTTTCCTGGAAACAGGAATACCAAAAACATGTACATTTAAAGTGGCATTTTCTCTGAGACCCTCTTCAGCTTGACATGAAGAACTGAAATATTTGTTACTTTTTGGCTATGGTATAAGTAACAAGCTTCCCTAGTAGATATGTGAGTGTTATGAGCTCTCCACATGTGGTCATTCTTGTGAGCTACTGGGACTGTATGCTTACTGCCATCATTAAGACTGTCCAGAATTTTAGAATTCCCCATGCCATTGATCCAAAACTACCCATATCTGACTTTCAGGCACACTGCAAAGTCTATCTCTTTTCCCTGCCTTTTGGGAAGAGAATTTACATCTAGTTCTGGGATTCATGCCAAGGCCTAATATTAAGGTCATTTGTGTTTTCCTTCCTAGTTTACGCGATGCCATTCTATTCATTTTTAATTGTACTTACATGACTTCATTTTATGTATATTAAAGATGCTTAGAGCCCAAAATAGCCATTTTAATGTATAGAATAAATCTAAATAAGCAAGTGTCAATAGCTCTTCCACAGCTAGCTATAATTAGGACATTTCCAGATACAGCTAGATCTTGAGACGTTTTAAGATGTGTGTTTTTTTCCTGGTCTATTCAAAACTTTGTACCGAAAATCCACTAGTCAGTAGTATTTCAATAATGGATGAATTTCAAAGCCACATAGACAGCATCTTATTAGCAGTTCAGGGCTCTTTCACTGTCTTATTCTCTCAAAAAAATCTCTTTAACTGTGGCAGAGTGTCAGTGAAGGGATATGCTGTGTTCATGTATTCATCTACTAGCTAGTTCGGAGGGGAGATCAATTTCATACATACTTTTTTCTGCTTCCACGTCGCCTATGTTTTTATATTTTATTCTGCAAAGCTCAGAATGTAAATGACCAGGTTGAGCTATAAAATAGTATGCTTTTGGATGACACCTTGTGTGTTGATTTTTCTCTTGATGGAAACACGTCTTAGTTTAAAAGCTGACAATAGCAAATGTAATTAAAACCGTTTTTGTGGGGGGTATTGACACAAAAGTTTGAATGTGACCATCTTCCAGAGTTCCCAGGGTGGTTTTCACCAGTCTCCTCTCACTTTCACCTTCCTCAGTCATCTCCACCTTCAAAACCCTTACTTTATAACCCCTCAGCTGTCTTGTTTTCTCTTCCTAGGAGACCTTGGAGTCCACTGCTAATATTGCTAGCTTTGTCTTCCTCTTACTAATCTCGCCATTCATCCTCCTGTTCTGTGTCACCTTCCAGACACATTGGCAGGATCATTCTCTCAACCTTCTCTGTACCATTCTCAGATACTCCTCCCTATCTTGCATTCCTTTCATAACCTCCAGTCTATTAGCAATTCTGATTTGCTCTCCAGTTGCTCCTTCCTCTCCTTATGTTAGTCTTCGAGGAGGAAACCATCATCTCCATCACTCCTCTGTGCCCACTCTTTTTGATGTTTGGCTTCCTCCCAGCATTCAGTTTTTCTGTACTGACTCCAGGGCTGATGAATGACTCTGGAGGGGAAAAAGTCCAGAGGCCATTGCAATTTACTGCACTACAGGTCCATCCATCCTCTTTGTTCATCTTCCTTGAAAAGCATCAGTACTCCTCCACTCTGAGTTTCATTACTACAACTCTCAATACCTTTTCTTTGCCTTGAACTGCTGTCTGCATGTGTGCCCTCTTCCTCCTCCTATTCAGACCTTTTCAAAAAAAAAGCACCTTGCTCGGCATTGTAACTCTGTTCAGACACTCTCAAAATCCCCCCACTAGCTTTTTATTACATCTTGCATCAAAATCAAGCAGCATGTTCTTCTACTGAGGCCATCTACAATCTACTTCTTTTTCTGCTTGTTCTCCTTTGCCACCACCTTCCATCTTCTCTCAACTCAAACTTCTCTTCTGATTTCCGTCTTCATATTCTCCTTGTAAAACCATATGTGTGCCTACCTTGACACTGCCCCCATGCTTCTGAACTCCCCCACATTTCTTTTAATCCTAAAGACAGCTACATCTTTTCCCCCAAGTGATTGCATGGTCCTGTTGTTATCCTCCTGCCCTACTCTTTGTCATCTACTTCTTCTGTTCTTCTCTTAACTTAGGTTGTAAACTCTTCTGAGCTGAGATTCCTGGTAAATTCTTACAAAATATCATGTGTTATGATATGTAAATAACGGTGAATAAAACAGACCTTCAAATCCAAATTGGCAAAAAATAGATTCATCACATGCCTCTACAAAATAGGTGCATATCCACAAACAAGTAATTGTAGTCCTCATGTTATCTAATTTTGATATTCATTCTTCTGTGGTTTTCTATCTTATAAAAAGATTCATCAATCTAACTCATACATACTAAATCTAAAATTAATATCATAGCACACTAATATAATATTTTAACATGCAAGGAGATTTAATCTGTCATGGTTATGGATTTAAATAACTTAACTTCGATAACATTCCTTTTAGAATATTTTTCTTTCAAACCAGTTAATTTTTATCAACAGCCAAATCTGAGGTAAATGTCTGTAAAGCATGAAAATTCAAGACTGTAGCTGACTAACAAACATTATGAAATGTTGCAATGTGATCTACAGCCTGATTAAGGCTTGCAAAAGCTTGAACATGAATACAAAGGGGTCCTTTCTCATCTATGCCTGAATGACTTGATGTGATTTTACACGTATTTTATTTGATCAGAAACAGATTTCTTGTCCATTTTTCAAGAATGTAGAGAATATTTTGAGGTTTTTGAAACCTTACACTGATTATTTTGACCCAAATCAACATTAAATGGTGGCAGCAATGTTTCTTCTAATCTTTTCCATCCATGGGCACATTTTTTCCATCCATGTGTAGAATAAATGTTATATGCACTGAGGCATTTGCCAATGTGCACCACCAGTAGAAACCAACACTTAGCTGTGAGTGCTCCACAATCAGCTGGGCAGTATTTGAATCTCTCCTGAGTGGCCACCTAAGCGCAGAGCTTACAGGGAACCCTGGCAGCTAAACATATTTATCTACTGAGCTTGGGCATTCTATTAAAATAAAAACAACAAATCAACATTGTAAGAATATTTGAAGTAATTCGTTCAAATAGCTGAAAAGTAAAACATTGACTCAAAGTGTTCAGTATTCTGCATAAATCAACACATTCATGGTATTTTATTTACACATTTTAAATGTAAAACTTTTCTGAGTCATTTTCACAAATTAGTTACTTGGAGGTTATATGTAATCTGTATATCTTTTGCTTTTTGAAAATGTTTGACTGACAATAATGTGCTGAATGCACACCTCTTGGGAGAAGGGGAAGGAAGAAGTTTAATATATTGCAGAGATAAAAATTTGATTTTTTTTTTCCCCAGCATGGTAAATGTTGTTCTAGAAGTGGAGTTGTGAACTTTAGTAACCTTAGTAAAGTAGTTTTTTTAACTTTTAAGTATCATGGTGCTTCATGTACATTAATCATGTTGACATACAGTATCGGATGAAGTCTGACAAACTTTGGTATTACAGCCAAGTGATATAATTAGACTAGTTTCAAATTCCAAGAACAGATTTTGTGTGCCACAGCTGTGCAAAATCAGTGTTGGTTTAAAATGGAATACTGTAATTTCCTTTTAACTCTTATTCCCAAGTGATCCATTTCCTGTAGAAGTAGTAGGAAAGGGAGCCAAGTGGAGTGAGTAATAGGGTCTGATGCGATTTCATTTAGAAATTAGATTTAGAAAATACAAGACTAAGTGGGGATATGATAGAGGTCTATAAAATCATGACAGGTATGGAGAAAGTGAATAAGGAAAAGTTATGTACTTGTTCCCATAACATAAGAACTAGAGGTCACCAAATGAAATTAATAGGTAGCAGGTTTAAAACAAACAGGAGGGTTTTTTCACACAGTGCACAATCAACGTGAGGAACTCCTTGCCATAGGATGTTGTAAAGACCAGGAACTTAACAGGGTTCAAAAAATAACTAGATAAATTAATGGAGGTTAGGTCCATCAATACTTAATAGCCAGAATGGGTCAGAATGGTGTCCCTAGCCTCCATTTGTCAGGGGCTGGATATGGATGACAGGAGAAGGATCACTTGATGATTTCCTGTTCTGCTCACTCCCTCTGGTATTTTAATACTGTTTAGTATTAAATCCAGCTAATGAATGGGATGATGCCACTTATAAAGACAGTTCAATGGAACAGATGTTAAAAATTGACATTTTTAAAAAATATATGGAGATAGGTATATATCTCCTAGAAGTGGAAGGGACCTTGAGAGGTCATCAAGTCTGGTCCCCTACCCTCACAACAAGACCAAGTACCATTTCTGACTGATTTGCCCCAGATCCCTAAATGGCCCCCTCAAGGATTAAGCTTACAACCCTGGGTTTAGCAGGCCAGTGCTGAAACCATGGAGCTAAAATGTACCTCTGTTTTTTCCAGCTAACTAGAAGGGTGAATATATCTTTGTGTAGAATGTTATTTAAATATTGGGATAGAATAGCAAAGTACAATTATTACTTTGTGTGCAATGTTCTTAAATATTTAAACATAACTGTTTGGTTATGTAAGATGTTTCTTCATTTTTCACAGAGCTAACCCTGCTACGGAGAGCAAATTTATATTATTAATCTAATAGCTCAGGATCTAGCTGTAGTAGTAGTTTGTAGACATGACTTACTGCTCTTAGCTTGTGGCTTTGTATGCATTTATATAGAGGAACTGAAAATGGAGAAGGACTAGAGATTGCACAGAGAAATATAGACCCACATACAGTAAAAGACATCACTCCAGTTTGCAAGACCTTTTTATAATAAAAGTTCAGCTGAAATTTGACATATAAAATGTTGCACATCTTGCACATGCTTGAGAAAAGATCATTAGGACTGTTCCACACATACATTTGCATTGAAATAACCAAAATATATTTAATTCACAGCTTGTTATTTTGATGTAAGTCTGAATATGGACACTCTCATTTCAGAATAAAAGTGCCCGCTTCGGATTTTTGCAAAAGTCTTATATATAAAAATCACACTGTTAGGTGGGTGAGTGTATTTTTAGGCTCTGCACAAAGATGTGAGAGAAAGTCAATACATCTTGCACTTGGCTAAATAAATTAAATGTCCAGGATGTTGCAAAATTGACTGCTTATTGACAGGAAACAAACCAACAATTACACTAATAAAAATCCACAGATGAATAATGAAAAATCCATGGGATATAAGAGAGGAAATCTGCTCCAGTGTCTCAATGGAAACCAATTCACTGTGTGCCAAGAATACTCCATCCAGCTGCAGCCAGGCTTCCTCACTGCAATCTGTGCGCCTGGGCATATTCCCCTCTCCTGAGAATAGATTCTCCTCAGTTGAAGTACACACAAATAACTAAAAAAAATCTGCCCGTAATTCTCCACATAGCACAGTAATTAATTAAAAGGAATTATGAGCTGCTTTCTGTAGGGACTCTCCAGCTGAGGCACAAAGACAGCAAGGAACTTTCCTGTCTCCAGTCTGAGACCCCTGAGAACTTCTCTTCTTTTTTTTCCTCCCAGCATTTCACATTCTACACTCCACAGAACTGCAGGATTTTTCTCTGTATTGCACGTCTGCTGAGGTACTCATTCTGACAAATGTAACATAGCAGGTCATCCTCACAAGAACGAGTCAGGCTTTCAGTGAGGTGCATAACCTCCAGTCTGTTTAAGCAGCTTAGACAACTGATACTTGTATCTAAGAAACTGTATATCCCATAACTGGATAAGATGTAGGCAGAATGCCTTCACCGTCTTGCCAATGATCACTTCATATTGGTTGAAAGAATAGTATCAATGAGCTCCCGAGAGAATAAGGTCTAGCTAGAGACTCTGTCTCCTGGGTGGCCTCAGGTGAAGAGGGGACTCCCCCGAAAGGCCAAACTCTCTCTCAGAAAATAAAAGAATGAGGAAATTTGTTTCTGACTACACACTGTCATGATCCTATTAAGTAATAACAGATGCAAAATGCCTTCATTTTACAGTTCTGGGTCAGCTTTGTGTTATGGGACCAATAATAAATATGTACACGATCTGACCTATACAAGAAATGCAGTTTCATTTACCTGTATTACGGCTGACAGTCTTTAGCATTTAAGAATGTGGGTTTTGCTGCGGCCCATTGTACGTTTGTCTTTCTCAGTACTTGGTGTCCAATTTTATGTGTTTCACTTTGCAGCTTGCCAATGAACAGGCAGAAAAAACTGTTTTATCTAAATAAGATATAGTACGTTGATTTTATACTCCTTTTCTATGCAATTTTATAAGACTTATCATATACTGGAAGACTACACTTTCAAAACTCCTGATTTTATTGCATTCAAGAAGCCAATTGCTGGGAACGACTAAAAAGCTCTAAGCTACATTGGGATGGATTTGAATTAAAATATCTTGCTTTTTATTGCAGGCATCTTTTTCATAAATCTTGTGTAGACCCGTGGCTGCTAGACCATCGCACCTGTCCAATGTGTAAAATGAACATTCTAAAAGCTCTAGGGATTCCGGTAAGCATGTTGTGCAACAGGCTAGTTAAAACAGAGTGAGAACATCCTGTATATATATGCCCATTGGTTTATTTCATCACCATGGTATATTGATTTATTAATGGGAACAAAAGCATACGTCTGTCTGTTTTTCTCCCCTCATACCACTTGGCTAAGAGGACTACGTACGTGTGTGTGTGTATGTGGTACTTGGTTGGTTTGCTGAGGGGGAAGGGTTTTTTAAAGCACTTGCAGCAGGGTTGTATATTCACACCCTACCTTTTTCTGTTTGCTCTTTTACGTCAGAGCTGGAGCTACGTTCCTCTTTACTGCCTCAGAGCAAAGGGTGCACAAATAAAAACTCTCCTGGTATATCATTCTAAGGTAGTTTTCCTCTGATTCTGATTTCAGAAGTCACTGCCTTTTCTGTCTCATTCCATTCCTTTTCTTAAAAGCATTCTTGCATGTCAGCAGGCCTGGTGCTCGTAATCCTAGTTATGAAGCATAACACTTTCCCCAGATGATTAAATATATGAGAACCATGTGATTACAGTATAAGAAAGATGTTACTGTAGATTGTTAGTCACTTGGTAAATTCAGATCTATTTAGAAACCTGCCAAAACTTGCCAGTTAACTTTCTGGATTGTTTTATCAAATACACTTGGTACATGTTACGCCAGCAGGATGTAGTTTCCCTAAATCACAGTTCAGTGTCTTCTCCATCAAGAAATTAATCAATTTTCATGCTATGTGAAAAAGCATCTCCTGACTGTTGAGTTTAATCCTGATACAAAGGTGGTTGATATGCCAACAGCTGCTGTAAATACTCTGTCCCCAAACGGAGGTAGCAGCATGCTAGCATTACAAAGCTGAGTGCTACATAAGAGAAATGAGACAAAGTAAAAGCCAACGGATGAGTAAATGAGAACAGCTAATGCAGTTTTCCCCAAGAGCAGCAGTGAAATGACGTGGGGACGCATAATCCAAACAAATTATTTAAATGAAAAAAAGAGATTGATACAAATGCTGAATTTATTATTCTAAGAAATAGTGCAATAATAAAATACTCAATGCAAATGTGTCCATTAAATTTGTACAATTATAAATCAAAAAAGATCCACCTGAAATAATATTATAATGATACTTTATAATTAGGCTTCTTAATTGTGTGTGTGAGATATATGGAAAAAGCTACAGTGAAAGATTGCTAAAATTGCAAAGTTAAGCACACTAAAGTTAGGAAATGTCATTATTAGGCCTGCATATTCAACTGTCATTCAGCCCCCGAGTATGGATTACAATACAGTTTTTAATTCCATCATCACGTGCTGTTTTTTCCACCGACCTCTGTGGGTGATCAGCAGGGTTAGAGGCTTTAGATCCACCTCTGCCGCAGATCTCTATGTAACTTACAGCAGTAGTAGCTGTCATGCTGCATGTAGACCAGCCTTTAGAGGGGGATAAGACACAGATTTTGCCAGTGGGTTTTGAAGCTATTTTGAACAGCAAAGAAACCATTCAGAACTCCTGTGTGCAGTTTCTGGAGGGGACTTGTGCTCTTTTGCTCCTATACTCCCTCTGCATCCACTCCCCTACTCCACAACATCCAGCCCACTTATCCTCTTTCCCCTTGAGTTCTTATTCCCGACACCTAAAATCCTCCTTCGCTGGAGCACCAGGTGAGTGAACAGAGCAGAGCAAGCCTTCAAGCCTGCTGCCCAGATGGAACACCTGGCAGAGTGAGGTAAGCGCCTGAGCCCCAACCCAGCTCCTTGGTTGGAGCACTGGGCAGACAGAGAGGAGAGAGCCCTCCTGAGCCTGTTCCCAGGTACAGTGCCAGGTGCAGCAGGGTAGGCCCCCATACCACACTCCTGCTCCTGCTGTAACGCAGAGCAGGCTGATGGAGAAGTGGAAGCTATGGGGGCTGCTGGGGTGGACCTGGATGCAAAATAGGTGGGTCACAGCCCACCTGTGGCTACGCCCCCATCACTCCCCAGCTTCTCCTCACCTCCTACTGCTCTTCACCCTTCTGCATTCAAGTCAGACTGATTCCTCCTCCTCTTCGCTACCTGGGCCCCAACAAGGGGAGCATAAAAAGAACCTAGGAGAGACCATCTCTCTCCTCTCAGTTATGGCTTCCCGTGCTGCACCTTGACTGCCAGGAGGAACTATTGCAGAGAAAGTGCTGCTCAACTCCTGCCTCCACTGAGCTGAAGTATTTTTGGTACTGATGGAATCTTCAAAGAACGTAGCTGCAAAACAGTAACAGGTCTCCACTGAGCATGTGTGAACAGATATTTTCAGAAGCTCAAACTTGGTCAGATTTCAGCGGAATTGCATGGAGACAGGAAAAAGCACATCTGTAGCACAAAGGTTACTCTTTTCCCAATTTGCAGTCCTGTTCCAAAGTATGAAGCCACTACAGCTTCTCAGTTAAACAGTTGTAAGAACTTGATTAACATGGGCAAAACTCGTTTTCCCTCCATACCTCAGTCTGCATTCTTGCTGAACCATGTTTACCACACACACACATCCCACCAAAAAAAAAAACATCCGAGACAAATACCCATCTTAGAAAACTTTGACCCAAATGGTTGCAGTTGGGCCAAGTTAAAAGGAACTGAAAAAAATGTTGGGAAACTGGCTTATAGACACTGTTACCAATTCAGTTTATAATGTATAGTGTCTTCATGCCAGCTGTATGCTTTTCTTAGTGGTGTATATTGAAAAGTTGGCTTATGTGAGTATGAATGTGGCATAACATTTCCATTTTAACATGACTGTTATATTTTCTAATGTATAGTGTTTGGAAAAAAAATTAGATCTAAATTTCCCAGGCAGTACGTGCCAATTTGGTAATCTCACCAGAATTTATTTCATAATCAAGATTTTTTTTAATGGCTGCCTAAAGCTACGCATCAAAATAACTAGCCTGTTTTTCAAAAGTGATGGGTACCCATAAAGAAGATACGTCTTAATGGGAGCTTTGTGCTGAGGCAGCCTGGTCCCTTGGAGGTAGTTCAGCCATAAGGAACTCTGCCATCATTTACATAAGTAAATGTCTGGCCTCAGTCCTCCCACTGGCACATTAATAGTGAATTGAGGGCACAAAGCTTAGTTTCTCCTGGTCTTGGTGCCTAAAGGGGAAACATTTTTTCTTTCATTTTCAAAGAAAATGTACCATTGTCGGGATGATCATATCTAATAAAATAATCTTCCTTCAGTTCTTACTCCTCTAGAAACAAGGTCTGAACATGCAAGCAACATTTTTTTCACTAGATTGCTTAGCTGCGACCTTTAATTGAGAAGCTGATGCAAAGGCCTCTGAAGTCAATGGAAAGACTCCCATGCTTTCAATGGAGTTTGGATTAAGGATGTTAAGGAGTAGTCGACTAGTCAATTCCTCTCTTCCTTCCCCCTCCCCCTGCCTGCCTCTATCAGAGGGGAGGGGGGAGAGGAATTGACTTGTCGACTACTCCTTAACATCCTTAATCCAAACTCCATTGAAAGCATGGGAGTCTTTCCATTGACTTCAGAGGCCTTTGCATCTATCAGAGGCAGCAAAGGGGCGGGGGGAGGAAGGAGGAGTACTTCAAAGCGGCAGCACTGCACAGTTGAGCCAGGGATCAGCTGTGTGGTGCTGCTGCCTTGAAACTCCAAGGCGGCATTTCAAAGGGGCAGCGCCATGGAGCCCGGGGTCAGCTGGGGAGTCCAGGAGAGCTGGACTCTTGTACATTTCAACGCAAGCACCCGTGTGCAGCCCAGAGTCAGCAGGACTTCTTGCTGGCCCCGTACGCGGAGATCCGCATTCCTCCTTTGAAATGTACAAGAGCCCCAGCGGCAGGGAAGGGGAAGGATAGATGCAAAGGCCTCTGAAGTCAATGGAAAGACTCCCATGCTTTCAATGGAGTTTGGATTAAGGATGTTAAGGAGTAGTCGACTAGTCAATTCCTCTCTTCCTTCCCCCTCCCCCTGCCTGCCTCTATCAGAGGGGAGGGGGGAGAGGAATTGACTTGTCGACTACTCCTTAACATCCTTAATCCAAACTCCATTGAAAGCATGGGAGTCTTTCCATTGACTTCAGAGGCCTTTGCATCAGCTTCTCAATTAAAGGTCGCAGCTAAGCAATCTAGTGAAAAAAATGTTGCTTGCATGTTCAGACCTTGTTTCTAGAGGAGTAAGAACTGAAGGAAGATTATTTTATTAGATATGATCATCCCGACAATGGTACATTTTCTTTGAAAATGAAAGAAAAAATGTTTCCCCTTTAGGCACCAAGACCAGGAGAAACTAAGCTTTGTGCCCTCAATTCACTATTAATGTGCCAGTGGGAGGACTGAGGCCAGACATTTACTTATGTAAATGATGGCAGAGTTCCTTATGGCTGAACTACCTCCAAGGGACCAGGCTGCCTCAGCACAAAGTCACAGCATTTCAAAGGGGCAGCCACCACACAGCTGGGCCAGGGATCAGCTGCGCGGCACTGCCTCTTTACAACGCCACTTCAGGTTCTGGGGAAGTGCCGTGCGGAACCAAGGTTAGCGGGGGAGTCCCCCGCTGACCCTGGGCTCCATGGCTTTGAAAGCAGGCACAGCCGCATGGCACCAGGAGTCAGCAGGATTTCCCCCTGACCCCGGGCTGCACATAGTGTTGCACCGTCCTTCTTTGAAATGTACAAGATGCCCAATTGAGTAGTCGATGGAGATTCCTCAATTTAACATCCTTAGTTTGGATCTGGCTCTAAAAACACATACATACAGAGAAATAGAGAAACCAATAAAATTAACTAAGCTTTCTAAAATATATTTGTCTCAGACAGTAAGGAGTATAAAAGATCATTTTTAAAAAGCAACATTTGATAACATTAGGATTAAAGTTCACTGTTTTTAGGTTTTTCCACAGGTTAAATGATATTTAAACTGCATTTAAAGGGGATTAATTAAACTGAGCCATGACATTTGTGCTGCTTTAGTTAATATTGTTCGAACTTTCCTTTATCTCCTATTTTAAGGATTTAAAAGTTGATCAGAAAAGCCTATTCTAGAAAATTTAACACAGTTTATTTAAATTGTATAACCCTCAAAACCAGATTTGATTTTTAAAATGAGATTTCAGTGGCTTCCAACAATGTTTGAAAATAAATCTAGTGGAAAAAATTTGAAGTTTGTGTCTAGCAGTTTTTGTCCCCAGATGCACTGTAAAAATGTATATATCTTTAGGCACATTAATAATCCCAGTTCAGTGGGGTTCATGTATTTGCAGTAGAAAGCCTTTTCTTTATTCAGCTTTGCTTAAAATTTGTTATGCTTGCAGATATGATGCCTTCATGCCAAATACTATTCAGTCTCTTCCCCAACTCTAAAGCCCCCAATCTGTGGATTAGGTTTTAGATGGCAGCATTCTATAGTTTAGTCTGAACGTAAGATGTTTAGAGCCATTTTAAAAGAATGCTCAGTTTGTGACAAAAATTATAGAAATGTATGGTTAGAACCTCAAAAAACTATCTAGTCCAGCCTCCTACACTGAGACAGAACCAAGTATTCCTATACCATGCTTGCCTTCTATTGGTCTAACCTGTTTTTAAAAATCTCCATTGACAGGGATTCCACAACCTCCTTTAGAAGCCTTTTGCAATACTTAACTATCCTTATTGTTAGGTTGGCAATTAGGAAAAGCTTCCTAACTCTCTCTCACTGCAGATTAACATGATTCCTTCTTGTCCTATCTTCAGTGAACCTGGAGAGCAGTTTATCGCCATCTTCGTTGTAATAGTCTTCAAATGTGTTAAAGAGTATCACGACTCCCTTAAGTTATCTTTTCTCAAAACTAAAATAGCACATTTTGTAACTTCTTCTCCTCTGGACTCTCTCAAGTTTGTCCACACTTTCCTTAAAATGCAGTACCCAAAACTAGGCACAGTGCTCCAGTCAAGGCCTTACTAGTATCAAGTGAGATAGTTGCCTCCTGTTTTATATGAAACCCTTGTTAATACATCCTAGAATATATTGTCTCTTATTGTTGGCTCATGATCAATTTGCAATCCACTATAACCTCCAGATCGTCTCACAGTACTACAGCCTCCTCCATTATTCCCGTTTCGTATTTGTGCATTTGACTTTCCCTCTAAGGCCAGGTCCACGCTATGGGGGAAGGTCAGCTTAAATTACATTGATATGTCAACTCCAGCTACTTTTTTAAAGAGCTTCAGCTCTGTCCTCATAGTGGGAGGTTAACAGGAGAAATGCTTCCATCAACTTCCCTTACTCCTTGAGAGGAGTAGAGTTCTGGCCCCAACAGCGGGGCGCCCACAGCATTCAATTTAACAGGTCTTTACTAGACCTGCTAAATCTAATGCCGGAAGATCAACCACCACAGCGTTGATCTTCCCACAAGTGGAGACGTGGCCCTAATGTAGAAATTTTACGTTTGTCTGTATTTAATTTAATCTTTCATCAGACCAATTCTTTAATTTGTCAGTCATTTTGAATTATAATCCTGCCTTCCAAGGGGCTTGCAAACCCCTCCCACCTTAATATCCTTTACAGATTTTGTAATCCTGGTCTCCTCTCCATTAATGAAATCATTAATGAAAATCTTAAATACTACTGGACCCAAGACAGACCTCTGTGGTTATCTCCCCTCTCCACGCCCCCTTCCTCCCCCAAGATACATACATCTTCACAGTTTGACAGCAAAACAATAACTACTTTTTGAACATGGTCTTTTAGCCAGTTACGCACCACCGTCTAGTAACTTCATCTGTACCACATTTCCCTGGTTTGTTTATGAGAATGTGGTGTGGACTGAGTCCAAAGCTTTACTAAAATGATGTACCACATCTGCTGTTCTCCTCTTCCCCCCCCCTCCCCTTCTTGACAAATCCATAGTGACTATTACCTATTACTATATAAGCTACTAATGGGGCAATACAAATTGATGGTTTGATAACATGTTGCAGTTGCTGTCTGGTCTATAATTCCCTGGGTCCTTTTTGTTCTTTTAAAGACCGGTTCTGTTTTTGCCCTTCTTCAGTCGTCTAGCATCTCACCCATCCTCCATGAATTCTTAGAGATGATTGTCACGGCTAGTTTTTTTAAGTGCCCTAAGCATTAATTTCATCAGGGCCTGTTGGCTTGAATACATCTAACTTGTCAAAATATTTATTAGCCTGTTCTTTCCCTTTTCTGTTTTGTGTTCTTTTCCCTTTGTTAATATGAATTCTGTAAAGCACTGGGTAAAATCTTTAATGAAAATTGAAGCAAAATAGACAATAAGCACTGCAACCTGCTCGATGGCATTCATTATCAGCTCTCCTTCCCACTTAACAGTGAACCTATACACTCACTCCATCTTTTTCTTTCTCCTTGGCTATGCCTACACTGGCATGATTTTCCGGAAATGCTTTTAACAGAAAAGTTTTCCGTTAAAAGCATTTTCGGAAAAGCGCATCTAGATTGGCAGGACGCTTTTCCGCAAAAGCACTTTTTGCGGAAAAGCGTCCGTGGCCAATCTAGACGTGCTTTTCTGCAAAAAAGCCCCGATCGCCATTTTCGCGATTGGGGCTTTTTTGCGGAAAACAAATCTCTGCTGTCTACACTGGCCCTTTAGCGCAAAAGTTTTTCGGAAAAAGACTTTTGCCCCAACGGGAGCAGCATAGTATTTCCGCAAAAGCACTGACAATCTTACATGAGTTCATCAGTGCTTTTGTGGAAATTCAAGCAGCCAGTGTAGACAGCTGGCAAGTTTTTCCGCAAAAGCAGATGATTTTGCGGAAAAACTTGACAGTCTAGACACAGCCCTAATGTATTTATAAAAGTTCTTCTTACTGCTTTTTATGTCTGCTGCGAGGTGTAATACATTTTGTGCCTGTCATTTTGATTTTGTCCCTACATGCTTCTGCTGCTCTTTGCTGTTCATCCTTAACACTTTATCCATATTTCCACTTTTTGTAGGTTCCTTTTTTATTATTCAGGCTAATAAACAGCTCCTGATGTATCCATGTTGGCCTCTCACTACTATGCTTTCTTTTGCATTGAGATAGATTACTGTTGTGCCTTCAATAGTGTTTTTGTGAAAAATTGCCAGCTTTCCTGAACTTTTTTCCATTAGATTTTTTTTTTTTATTATGGAACCCCACCTATCAGTTCCCTGAATTTGTTAGTCTGCACTTTTTTTAAGGTCTATTATCCTGGCATGAAACAACAAAAGACAGGAAAGTCACAGAAAAGAGTGAAATAGTCGAAGGGGCTGATCTAGTAAAGTACTTGAGCACAGGTTTAAAGACATAAGCTGTGTCTCTTCAATGAGACTACTTAGACGCATGAATTTAACAGTGTTTAAATGCTTTGCTAGATTGGGGCCTATGAATCATATTTTCAAAAGTATGTAGATGACTACTGGGTCTAAGCAGGTTAGGTATCTAAATATATTTGAGTGCCCCAGAGTGTCAGCTAACTTTTTTAGATCTAACAAGGTATTTGTGTAACTGTAGTTCTGTTTGAGTGTGTTGATGCTTACAGGTGCTGTTGAACAGACTTTGCACATGAATTTTTCTTGGTTTTTATTATTTTGTGGCATACCCTTAGGGTGTTATTTCTGAAGTATCTGTACATGCTCACCTTCTGCCTGCTGTGGAGTATATAAACACAATTCCCACTGGAACGCTGGAAGCCAAAGAAATATATGAAGGCAGAGTTACCTCCTAAGCTAAAGGGGGCTAAAATTTCCAAAAGTATAAATTTAGGCAAGTGGTGGGCAACCTGTGGCCCATAAGCCACATGTGAACCCACTAGGGTTCCACCTGAGGCCTGTGCACTTCCTGTCTGCCCCCCGTTTCCTGCGCCTCTCATTTCCTGAGGCACTGGAACCTCACACTTCCTGCTCCTTCCCCTCTGTTCTGACACTGTTGGACCACAATGAATCCAGTGATTCACGCTCCTTCCCCTCCCTCCCAGAGACTGAACATCTGTGAACAGGTGATTCATGGTGTTCACGCCCTGGGAAGGAGGGGGAGAAGTCGGGATGAAGCATGAATCAATGGATTCATGACTCTCCAAAAGTTCTGGGAGGAAGAAGTGCGGGACCCCAGCACACAAGAGGCACATGAGGGAAGGGGCAGAGAGGGAGTGCTTGGTCTGCAAGTGGGCTAGGGCCCACAGGTTGCCCTCCACTGGTCATGCAGGCCACTGAGATGGGGGGCCACTCATGCAGCTCACTCACTAGTCTTGGTTGCCCATCACCAATTTAGGCTTTTAACAACTCATGTCTCAATGAATGTCAATAGGACTTAGGCCCCTAAATAATTTGAGAAATTTTGATTTTACCCAGCTTCTTTCTTATAACTAGAGTCCTTAATATTTTCTTTGTAGAATAATAGCTTAAAGACTTTTCTTTTTTTCCCCATTAGCCAAATGCAGATTGCATAGATGATATACCTCCAGATTTTGAAGCTTCCATAGGAGGACCGCCAACTAATCAGATTACAGGAGCTAGTGATATAACGGTGAATGAAAGCTCTGTAGCTCTGGATCCTCCTGTCCGGACTGTGGGAGTACTACAAGTGATACAGGATGCAGATCCTCTTCCCCAGGTTGGGGAAGGTAACTTCACAACAAGCAGTAAGTTCCTCCTGGCAGAGTTTGCCCTGACAATAGTAGGCAGAAACCTGAATCACAAAGCAATGTATAGGTGTGTGAGGCTTGGCATATATTTTCACTAGTTTAAATTTTACCAAAATCTAGAGGATAAATCTTAAAATGTCTTAAAATGGCAACTTTGAATTATCTGGAATATTATTGTATCACGGATACTCTGAACCCAGTGTGCAAATAAACTGCTTGAATCTGATAGAATAGCAAAGTAAAATGTATGGAAGAATACTCTAGACGAAGTAGACATTGGCCCCTTTTATTAACACAGAGTAGACTAAAGATATAGATATCTTCACATGTTTAACTGATAGTGAGTCCTTTTACCAAGACTTTCCTTAATAATCTAAACCTACAAGCCTGCTCCTTTGTTAAATTATTTGTTCAATGTCTTTGTCTACCAAAATTGGTGCTTATCCCCTGGCCTATGTTTCTTTGGTGTACTATTTATTGTTATACGTGCAGAGTTTCACTCTTACTTCCTATATAACAAAGGCCAGAGAACTTTTGCCAAATAATTGGCTAGATGGTGCTTAGTGCTGCCACGAGTACCAGAAACTGGACTTGATGACTTCTTGAGGTTCCTTTCAGTTCTATGATTCTATGATGAATTGCTAGGGCAAATTTTTTAGAAAAGCATCCAAACTTGATGTCAAAATTGCTTGTGATGTAGAATTCATCACAATTCTTGGTAAATTATTCCAGTGGTTAATTACTATATTGTTCAAAATGTATGTCTTATTTCCAGTCTGATATTGTCTCACTTCAAATTCCAGCCTTTGAAATACATTATACTTTTCTCTGCTAGACTGAAGAGCCTATTTTGCATATTTATTTCCCATCTGGGTGCATGTAGACTATGATCAAGTCATTCCTTAACCTTTACTTTGTTTTGCTAAATAGATTGTGCTCCATCCGTCTGTCACTATTAGGCATGTTTACTAATCCCTTTAATCATTCTCATGGCTCTTTTCTGAATCCTCTCTAATTTTTCAATATTCTTCCTGAATTGTGCAGCAGCAGTCACACACATGCCAGGGACAGAAGTAAAACAGCCTCCCTATTCCTACTCAGGTTTCCACCAAGGATCACATTAGCTCTTTTGGCAATAGTAATGCACTAAATATTAATGATCAGCTGTTTTTTTTTCCTACCACAACCCCCAAATCTTTTTCAGATTCACTGCTTCTCTGAAGAGATTTCCCCCCTCCCCCCAATCCAGTAAATATGTCCTTCATGCTTTGTGCTTAAATATATACTTTTATAAAAATAAAAGCTAAAAGTTATAGTCACTTGCCTTACTGTAGGACGTGAACTTGTTTTGTCTGTGTTTTTACAAATGATGGCTCTGACTGCCACTAGGAATCTTTGCAGAGGTATTTGACTTTTGGCCCACCCTTATACACTGTTAATGACAGAAGAGTCCTCCTAGGCTGAGTCTACCCTGGAAATTTGCATGGCTGCTGCTTGTGATTGAACCTGTGTGAGCTGATCTGTGCAATGTCGATGGAGTTCATCCAAAGCTTGTACTTGCTGCCACTGTTGCACCTTTTATGGATTGCTGTGCTTATCCCGTGGAGTTGCTGTTTTTTTCTTTGTTATTGTTTGGAGATTTGTTTCCTAACAGGATCCAAACGTAATGGCCCTCTCAGTGTGGGACAGGAAGGAGGACATTTTCATAATACTACATACATGGGATGAAATTACAGGCAGTCCCCGAGTTACGCGGATCCGACTTATGTCGGATCCGCAGTTACGAACGGGGCTTTTCTCGCCCCGGAGGACTGGAGCAGCGGAACGCCCAGATGCGCTGCAGTCCCGCCGCCCCCATCCTCCAGGGCGAGAAAAGCTGCTCCACGTCTCCCTAGTCTGCTGGGGGGGGAGTCCCCCCAGCAGCTAGTGCGCCCCCTCCCCAGCAGACCAGGCTTTTCTTGCCGACGACGCCTGGGGTAGAGCAGCTGGGGGGGTGGCCGGTG